CCCCCCCCTCTCTCCTCACCTCCCAGAGTGCGAATGCGGGCAGCGGCGCCCTCCTTCCTCTGAGGCTCAGCTGGATCCAATTGAATGAAGAGGCAGGCAGACAGGCAGACAAGTACCAAGAGAGAGGATGATGAACACCAGAAATGAGATATCAACGCATACGCACCTCTTTCGATGGCAGGATGGCCTTCGGGCAGCATCGCCTGGGCCTGCTCGTCAACCGTGCGCTGTACACGCTCATCCTGCACATACACCACACACCACACACGGTCAGCCATCCATCCATCCAATCCATCTCACCTCCTGTGGCTTCCGTGTCCTGCGCGAGCGGAGCGACAGTGGTGCTGGCGGTGCGTCGATGGCAGATCCTGGCGCCCCGGCAGCAGCACCAGCAGCAGCGGTACGATTGGTGTCTGGACCTGCACATCCATCCATCCGTCCATCGCCACAGCAGGAAAGTGGCACCAGGGACCGATATGTGCGTGCGAGAGCGAGTAGAGCTCATGGTGAGCGAGATCTCACTTGGGCGAGGCTCGAAGAGCGATTCGGCAGCCCTGTCATCGCCAGCGTACGCCATCCTCCCACCAGGCTCGGGCCCGGAAAATCCTCATACACGTTTACATCATCGCGAAACGTATGCGCAAACGTTGTAGCGGTGACGTCTGCGTGATCAGTACGGCCTCGACGAAGACCGAGAATCCGGAGATACCAGCAATGCGCTTTGAGGGCAAGTGCGCCTCGCACGACAATCTGGCGGCCATATGCCACGAGGGCGGACGGCCGAAAATAGCGCTTGACTCGGATATAGCGCTTGGTTCGGAAAAAGTAGATGAATATGTCTTCTCCTTCGACGAGGGTTACTTCAAATTCTGCTGGGGCAAGGGCTTCGAGAGTGTGTAGGCGCGGGTGGGTGGGGAATGGATGCGGTGGAGTGACCAGGGGGCGGTCGTAGTTGGGCCGTAGTGCATATCGGAGGGATGGGTGGGTGTGGGTTGCTGGGTTGGCCTGCGTTGTCTGTCCGTCCCGTCTCTCTCTCTCTCTCTCTCTCTCTCTCTGTCTGGCTCACCCGTTTGTGTGTAGGACAACTAAGCATCCTATGTATCCTCTGGGTGTGGTGTGTCTTCTAAGGTGCCATCATCATGGTTGGTTTGCCTGCCATGCGCCTGCGCCTGGCTGTCTCCCTCCCTCCCTCCCTCCCTCCCTCCTCTCTCCCTGTCCACCCCACCCATCCCATGGCATGGCTGCAAGTGTGTCGACACCAACACAATCCCACTCACACGCTTGGCTTGCTTCGCACGTGTCGCAAAACAGACAGATACACACATCATATCTTGTGGAGGGGTGGGTGGACGATAGCTGGACGGATGGCTCGATAATACATTCCTTCTTGCATGCTGCGTGGGCTGTCTGTCTGTCTGGCTGTCTGGCTGCCTGCATATGGTTGTGTATATCTGCGCGTACGTAATGACGAGGGACGCACCAACGAACGAACGGATCAACGAAAAAATGACCCACACACGGATGGCAAAACTTTCTGGAATCGAACTCGTTGCAAAGAGAGGACCCCGCCCGGCGTGCACAGCCTGGCGGAATGAGGCGGAATTGCCCGACTAAAAGAGTTTGAGTGGATGTCATCCATTCTGCTACATGCATATGCACCACCACTCGTCCGTCCATCTGTCTGTCTGTCTGTCTGTTCATTTCTGCGGTGGCGGCAGCAGCCTCGCCTGAAGCTGCTGGGCGCCCTCGAGGCCCTGTGGCGCCGCTTGGGGCTGCTGGCCCTCCTCCTGCTGCTGCTGCTGCTGTGCGGGGGTGGCCTCTCCCCACTGGATGTCGGCAAGTCCGGGGATCTTGTGGCCCTTCTGCTTGTCGGCCAGGTGGATGTAACCCAACTCCTTGGGCGGCTGGGGAAGCTGCTGGCTGTGGAACTTCAACCTATACGTGACACACAAGATCAGCAGTCCATCGTGTGTGTGCACATGGTCGTCTTGTTGTCGACACGTACGCTTCTGTTTTGTTGAGGCTTCCGAACATTTTGCTGCGGTCACCGACGGACAGCTTGATGCGCGCCTGGGCTGTCATGTCCTTGACCATTGCACGGTCCTATATAGGTGTGAGTGACATACACGC